CACTCATGGTAGGCATAGCAGCCGCAACAACCAAAACGGATTCCACACACAAGCACACGGACGAAGATTAAACCCCGTTCGACGATTACACGTTTTTAAACACCAGTAGATGGCGGCACCGCTGTCATCGGCGTGTCGCTGCTACTTACATGTGAGGGCGGAAGACCAGCGCTGTAGGGCGAACACCTGACCTGACGCGCTCCCTACCGTTCGAATATCACCTGCCGACAGAAGAGCGCAGATTTACGGTGGTTTTTTTGCTAGATCCGAAATGCAGTGATGCGTGAGGGATTGTAAGGCAGCAGGCAGAGATTGACCGAGGTCGACTCAGAAACAAAAATTTGAGGGTTTCCTAATCAATTGTTTTTTGTTGTACGTATTTTTTTTCTTGTTAGCAGCGGGATCTCATATCTCTATTACACTGCGTTCCTATGGAAGAACTTTTTCTGTAATCCTGTTTCTGTCAATTCGTCTACAAGACAAAACAGAGTTTCATTGTTTAAGACAATGATTAAGACTAAATTTGTTTTCTGACAACAGGCCCCTGATGGACTTCCTTCAGGTATACGCGGATTACGAAGAAAGACACACGAAAAGGACAGAGATGTACTTTCTATCCGAGTACCTCGAGAAGCACCGCTGGCTCTCAGCCAAAACTAGTGCCATAAACCCAATTTTCTTCGCTGAAAATCAGGGGCCCGTTGTCAGAACACCAATTACGTCTTGAACACTTCAGTCCCTTTAACATTAACTTCCAACCTTCGTTAACCGCTGACAGAAACGATCCGTTAATGTTACTGGAGAATCAAAAAATCCTCGCAATATTCCTCTTAACTTCTTACGAGAGTCCCAGACGCCTCTCGGTAACTTTAATATGAAGTTGAAAACGGAAGAGCGGATTTACACTTGACGAATTACAATGCTTGTAGTGATACGTAATATCTTCCTATAATAATGAATATGAATAGTGTCACCATGACACAGTGCTAGCCACCACAACAACAAGAACAAAAATGGAATCTCTGGTGGATGGAGAAAAGAAGTCCAGTTTAATTGAGCACACGCACTCAATCGTACAGTGTATAAAAGCGAGAAGAAACCTAATATAACCTCCTCATAAATATACTCCCTTATAATTTATGCTCCTACCATTATTAATTCCACTGTTTAATTATATTAAGTGAAATAATATTATATATCAGTGCTCGAAATAAGAAAAAAAATGTCCGGTTGTCCTGCGGACAAACCCAGGCATCAAATCAGGTTGGTCCGCAACGAATTTCTGTTTGTCCCAGAAAATATCCCCAAATCTTCCTGATTTTGCAATCACATAATAATATGGTCAGAAAAACACCAAAAACAGTGGTCGTAGCCAGGATTTTTTTGAACAAGGCGGGGGCCAAAATCAGCGAACTGCGCAACATACGTGGATGACTTAATATTTTAATGGCTCCTCCGCCTCCCTCTCCCACAACCTACGGCTCCGCTACCTTCTTCTGCCAATCTTTGTTTTTTGGGTGCTATGCGAAAAGGCGACATGTTTTGTTTTTCATGTGTTTCTCATGCCTCCCAAGATATGTAATTGTCCAGTGGGCGGATCTAGGATTCAAGGAGGGGGGTTAAACAAAGCGGCGGGGGGGTACCCTGTATGGGGTCTCCTCCCCCAAATAAGATTTTTTGAAAATGTTTAGATCGCATGGAGATGGTATTTTGCCGGCACTTTTGAGTTACAATGTTACAGGCCTTCATTCTGAACTACGACAATTCTCTTTTTTTTAACTTCTTGGATCAACATGAATCCCCACTGTTGTTTATGTTTTGCCATGGGCAAGAGCCTTCGGAAAAATTCAAAATAAATAATAATGGAATAAACAATACCAAAATGTCAGGCGGTTGAACTTGGCTGGGTTTTGCTGGTTCCCAAATCGAATTCACCTCTCATAAATCAGAAAAACCTGACATATACCGAAGTGTTGGAACATAGCAGCTGGTATGCGTTCGCTTGTCCCATCACCATTTAGATTAATGGCGGTGGCCGGGCCAGGCTATATTAGTTGCCTCTTGGAAACCACTTGGAGGAAAAACATCAAATAAAGTGAACGGTTTGTCGTCACCATTTTTTCTTTGGTTTGCTCCACCCGGGACCAAATGTCTTCAGCGGACTGGTTAGGTTGTCCTGGCGCAAATTGTGGTTGTCTCGGACAACGGACAACGTATTTCGAAGCACTGGTATATAAATTATTTAGATCATTTATAAACCAAAATGAATTCACAATTTGTGGACGGTAGATACCTATACCCGCTTTGAGTTCTCTTAGCATAAATCATTATATCATTAACAATAATAATATAATAATAATAGTATAAATCACTAATATTGTTTCATAGCAGGAATTTCGGCATTAAAGATATTGGTCAATGAAATCTTGTAAAAACGAACCAGACCGAGTGTGATTGCACCACAGACTGTTTGTTATCTGCGTGCGCCTATTAATCATGCTATATAATTGCTAAAAACCTACCTAATTTGCTTTGTTTTTTTTTTTAATATTTCAAACCCTAGCCCTTATTGCATTCACATACCAAAAATTGAGCAAAAATTCGTTGAACCTGAACTGACTATGGCAAATTGCCATTTTTTGCCAAAAAATTACCATGTGGCTCGAAAGTATCGTCGATGCGCGGTGGCTTCCAAAAATAGGGACGTTTTAATCATGGAGCATGAGCAGTAACAACTATACCCAATAGTAAGTCCGACGTCACTCAAAAGTGTCAGTGATGACGTCACCAGATGCCGGTGGCATTGAACAACGAAATCCTACATGGCCTTAAAACTACCCATGTCTGTTTCATTGCTACTAAACGCGTGGTACACTTAACTGGCAGTGTTGTGTTTCGTGTACCGATTGTAAATATCAATGCTGAAGTCTTAACAAATTATTTGACAGTTTAATTTTATAAATTTAAATTGTTTTTTTAGACCACTTAAACGTATATAACGTAGAACCATAACGATTTTGCTACCGATGCTTTACAGCTGTCTGCAGCCGCACCACTCGTATGTGTTACCAGGAGGCGTACGCGACAACATTTTCACCGCGCAACGGTTAACGTGGTTTATGGACGCAGAGTTGGGACATCTGATGTTTGTAAGAGACCACGGCGATGTTGTGCTTAGAAACAACCACGCTTAAGACCGTCACACTTCGGTACTCTTAATTTCAAAAATTTGGGTCAAACGGTTTCCTGAGTTAGTCCGTTTGACCGCTAGCCAAATTCGTTGACGGGACGGGACGGACGTACGGACGTACGGCAGGACGTACGACGGACGGTCAGCGGACGCAGACGTTAATAGCTTGGGGTGGTACCTGGAGTTCGGAGCGACGGCCTAGCGGCCTATAGCTCAGCTTGACATGTGCAAGGCGAGCTAAGAATGTGTTTTTTCTTGAAAAACCCGGTGTGGTGCACATCTCATATCCCAAATGTAGGGTCTAGGTCCAGCTAATATGAACCACAAAACGAAGGTACATCGTTTTTCGAATTAATATAGAGAACAGCTGATAAGATGTCGACAATAATTGGTTTTTTGCTCTTCAAAGGGATCGATTTACTACTAGGTTCTAGGGTATATTTTCATTTAATTTTAGGTTATTAGTTGATTTGTGGGTTCCATTACGTACTAGTGATTGTAATTAGCGCTTTTAATGTTTTATGTGGGTTCTTGTTCTATTCAATTACGCCTTTATAATATGAGTTGTAAATTATGATCTCTTAGATATAATAGCTCATACAGTATTCGATTACGAACGACTTGGGTGGCGCCACTCAATCGTGTTCCACCGATTCTCGTTATATAGTTTGCTGCAAAACACACACTTTGATTCCGCACGCCACAGATGTGTGTGTCCTTTGAGCTATACATTCGGAGGGTGAACTGTTCTATATTATTAATTTAAAAAGCCAAAAGGATCTTGTAATATCGTCATGTGTTGTAATTCAATGACGCAAAGTTACGAGGGCATTGATTACGATCCGTCTTAACTCGAGTTGTATAACGTATTGTGGAATGACAAGTATTTTGCTCTGTATAAATGATTGCCTCGCTTAAATGTAGTAATCAGTTGTGCAGCGGCCACGTTAAATAGCATTTAGGCTATAAATATTTAATTTGCACTTTTGTGATTAAGCCCTCAGCGTCTGTAATCAGCGTTTTGCTTGATTCCGCGTTGCACGTTAATGCTAAATATGACACCAGCTCGTGTTCTGGTCATAGTGTAACCAGAACAAGCTTGTGATCTGTCCATACGTGTAACCAGACAACAAGCTTGTGTTTCTGTTCATACGTGTTAACCAGACACAAGCTCGTGCTTCCGTCATACGTGTAACAGAACACAGCTTGTGTTTCTGTACATACGCGTGTAACCAAACACAAGCTTGCTGTTCTGTCATTACGTGAACCAGGCACAAGCCTGTGTTCTGTTATACGGGGTGTAACCAGACACAAGCTGTGTTCTGTTCATTACTTGTACCGACACAAGCGCTGTGTTCTGCTTCATAACGTGTTGTAACCGACACAAGCTTGTGCCTTCCGTTCATACGTGTAACCAGACCACAAGCATTGTATTCTGTTCGATACGTGTAACCGGACTCACAAGCGCCTGTGTTACTTGTCCATACGTGTAACCAGACACAAGCGCCTGTGTTCTGTCCATACGTGTTGTATAACCAGACACAAGCTCGTGTTCTGTTCACACGTATAATGGTGAGAAACGTTCACGTGACAGATTAGATTGGCTACAATGATTAAGCTCGCAAATTTCGTGTTAGCAAGGAGCTAAATATAACTATAGCGTAGTATATATTATATAATATTTAATAGCTTATAGCTATATATATATATATATATATATATATATATATATATATATATATATATATATATAGCTATAGCTATATATTTAGCTCCTTGGCGTGTAGTAAGCGATGGGCGCGTTCCTTACCCGATGAACAGACACATGGCGTCCTCGATGGCTCGGTCGTTGTACTCGCTCAGCTCGCAGCTAGCGCTGAACGCTCGGCCACGCGTCTTCATGTGCGGCTGCGCGGACGCGCACGGCTCTGCGTAATCAATAGGTAGGACAGGAAGGTGATGGAAGCCGGTCGCCGTGTGTATGCACGGCAGACTGCTCGACATGTTCAGTGGTCGCTGCTGCTGCTGCTGCTGCTGCTGCTGCCTCGCCTGCGACAGACTCGAGCGCGAGTGCACCAGCTCGGGACGCCGAAAGACGCCCGTCTGCTTATACTTGTACATGAAGTAGGACGCGCCGCAGAAGAAGGCGCCGATGCCGCAGAGTATTGGCCCGATGATGGCGTACATCTTGTGGTGGTAGAGCCGCGCGTTTCGGCCCATGTAGCTCATCGTCGCCAGCGCGATGCCGACGGACAACGCGCCGATGCCGGGAAAGATGAGATAGGAGGCGACTCGCTTGTAGAAGATAATCTCGGCGTTGACCTTCGAGCGCTGGCGCGTGCGAAACAGCCGCCGCACCGTGCGCTCCTTCTCCTGCTGAAGTTCGAGGTCGAAGATCTTCTGCACGTTGCGTCGATCTGTCACTCCGCCGATCTGCATTTCTGCGCATGAGATCGCCTAGCGAGCGCGGCGACATCGTCTATCCACGCGTGCGCACCCTGCCGCCCACCATGTTCGCTCTTTCGGCTCCTGCAACGTGCCGAATGTGTCTACTTTATATTTTTTTGTTACATCCTAACGCGATTTATCGATGAAATTTGACTAACTAACGAACGTACACAGTAAATTCAATAGTTTCCACAGGGCTGGCCGTCCCCTAAGCGATTATCACTAGATAGGCCTATAGATTATTACTTTTATTATTATTATTGTTATTATTATTATTACCTCCGCCAAAGGGTTTGCAGGAGGTTATGTTTTCACCGGCGTTTGTTGGTTTGTGGGTTTCTTTGTGTACACCGGATCTAATTAATTAATTAATTAATTAATAAAATTTTCAGGATAGGTCAGAAATGAGGTAACTTAGAATTGATTACATTTTCGTGGTGATCCGGATCCAATTAATTAATTTATTAAAAATTGTTTACAGTGAGATAATTCAGCTGCCTTGGCGGAGGTCTGCGCTCTCCGAGTGCTCTAGTTATTATTATTATTATTATTATTATTATTATTATTATTACTACTACTACTACTACTATTATCATTATTATTATTATTATTACTATTATTATTATAACCATATGAATACTCTACACGAATTACTCGATTACACCTCTAGATCTACTACTATATACAAACTATTACTCTACTACATTACAGTCGATTAAATATCATATGCCGCATCGCTTAGCCACTAATTTAGGAATCAGTACGCACGCTGACGGGCCGACCTGCGTACGTTGTATATTGGCTTCAGTATATTTACGTGCAACCTTGCGACTGGAGAGGGTTAGCAATCGCCTCACAACCTAATGCGGATCGGGGGCCACATGGGACCCTGTGTTCTCACGTAGACAAACATGATCCCGCTTCATATAACAACTCATTTAGCTCCGTTTATTCTGCCGTAGAGAAACGCTCTACGCACGCTGTTTGGGCCGCATGTATGTGTCCATTAGGAATCAACGAAGAGCACCATGAACCACAGTGAACTACGATTTGCAGTGGCCTTCAATGGCGAGACGTGGCGGCCTGGCGTTGCCACGATGCCATTGATCGTCATGTGCTAGAGTCGTTCATCGTCGCACCGTGTACTACGGACACATACTACAGTCCAAGCTGTGTTGCAACGTTCACACACGCGCGCACTCACGCAGGCATACACGCACAATATTTATCGCCTAGCTCTTTCACTCTATCATAAGACTGTTTATCTCGCTCACTCGCTTCTTACTCGCTGTCTCGGTTTCTATCCCCGTCCATTCTATTCCTCTCTCTCTCTCTCTCTCTCTCTCTCTCTCTCTCTCTCTCTCTCTCTCTCTCTCTCTCTCTCTCTCTCTCTCTCTCTCGCTGTATCTCTATCTTACCTCCCCTCCCTCGCCTCCTCTGTCTATCTCTCGCTTCTCTTTCTCTCCGCTCTCTCCATTTCTCTCACACACACTTTCTTTTTCAATCGCTCTCTCTCACCCCATTCTCTCTCCATCTCTCCATCTCTCTCTCTCTCACCCCATTCTCTCTCCATCTATATATAGTATACTATATAATATATATATATATATATATAATATATATATATATATATACTATAATCTGCAACCCTTACGCTGCATCGATATACGCTCTCTGTGACTTGTTCGGAAAAAAACACATTTAATTCCTAAACATTTTTTTTGCGAGGGAGCTTAATTGACACAACAAGTGCCCTATCGCTTGTGTTGGTCAGATCAATACGCTGGTCGTTGCAAAGCAGCGTGGTTTGTGTCCCTTGTCATTTGTTTTTCGATGTCAAGCACATGCAGTGGTGTCAGGCCGAGAAATACGTATACGTACACGGGAACTTGGGCCGCCTCAATAATTACCTGATGGTAAATAAACACAAATTGCATTTACCAACAAAGTATTAATGTTTACGCACGCTCTATTGCCTAATAATTGCATGTAAGGGCGTTTAAATGTTTCTCTGCAACACACAATCTTTCCGCACGCACGCCACCGTGCGTAAACCCGTTAGGACTTTGGTATAGTAAATACAATTTGTGTTTATTTACTATCGATATACTGTTGAAACGGCCCAAGTGCCTATATATACGGACGCGCGTCATATCCCACCATATTGTGACGCCAACATAACGTGGTTGTCAGGTTTATTAGATGTTGAGTGGCGGCATTTCTCATTAATAGTTTTGCTGCCAAATTTCGCACATGTATACACGTTCACGGCGGCCACCTTTATAATAGGTGTATTTTAATGGTTTTATGTCAATACATTTTAAAATAATATGGGAACGTATTCGTGTTGTTATACCCGATCATATACCTTAGCATCGGAGATAAAATGAGTTCGTAGAATCAGAACAGAGCATTCATTCATATTGGAGAACGCGTATTACCGAATCGCTATATACGCATGCATTTTGCACTTACCGGAACCAATCCTGTCTCCTTGGTCGAACAGCGTACAAAAAGCGTGTAAACTCGGTGACACGCGACACGCGCGAAGCAAGGATACACTGATTGGCAGTGCGCATAGGGTTCACAGCAATCCTGCCAGCTCGGGTGGCACGAGGATGAGAGACAAGTGTGTCTATCACAATAGCTACGCGATTCTGAAGTTTCCACCCACTCTCTCTCGCCCGGCGAATACGAAGTTTCGGCCGTGCAGCTGCGCTCGGCTTGCCTTAGCAAACATATATGGCGGCCCAACTCAGTTTCGAAGCAGAAAGAGGGGCGAGGTAGGCGAGAGGGGAATTGCATCGAATCGATAATAATTCGTGTACGCGAATGCACGTTGTCCCAGGAATCGTGATTCGAGAAGCGCTCTTCAGAAATCGACGAGCTTCTCTGGGCTCGCTCGCATCACAGCCTAGCCAACCCGACCACCGACGTCCGAGTCACCTTGCTATTATTTCCTTTACGCAGCATCAGCCATCTCTGCGCGTGCGCAGAGCGAGAGAGAGAGAGAGAGAGAGAGAGCGCGCGCTCTCTCACTGGAAGCGATCCTGCATACAAACGACGGGGACAATAACAGCGCCTCTTAGCGGCCTGTCCCACGGAATTTGATACGACGCTGCTGTTGACAGAGCAATATCAAACCGAGTTTCTAGTTAATTGCCGTCCGCTCCCTCAGCGCGCGCGATGGCAGTTAGGCCACGACAAGCGGGGGCGTGCGTAGCAGAGATATGCGTGAGATATGCGTCGGAGCATCGTCGTTACTGAAGGTTGTAGGCATCGCTCTCGCGCTACCCGTCGCAAATGCCTCGTAACAAGCGCGGCACACGTCGAATGCGTTATTTTTATGCACGACCAGAACGCACGTATACACTGACCGTGGCGCTGGCGGACGAATCAAACGAGGTAATTTGTTTGTCCGTGGCGAATGAAAATAAGTGAGATTTTGGAGGCTGTACGCAGAGGAAGCGTGCGCGGTCTCAGCTGGAGACGCGTGAAAGCAAACATACGACGAGTGAGGGGCATGAGAAAGATCGAGAGAGGGGGGACGAATAAAGGAGGAGAGAGAGAGATAGAGAGAGAGAAAGAGAGAGAGGAGATCGAGTCTCTCTCTCTCTCTCTCTCTCTCTCTTGTGTGTGTGTGTGTGTGTGTGTGTGTGTGTGTGTGTGTGTGTGTGTGTGTGTGTGTGTGTGTGTGTGTGTGTGTGTGTGTGTGTGTGTGT